GAGTGGTATAAAGTTATAGGGCCATGATATCTGGCCAGTAGGTACTGGGACAGAGTGGTATAAAGTTCAAGGGCCATGATATCTGGCCTGTCGGTACAGGGACAGAGTGGTATAAAGTTCAAGGGCCATGATATCTGGCCTGTCGGTACCTGGGACAGAGTGCTATAAAGTTCTAGGGCCATGATATCTGGCCAGTAGTTACCTGGGACAGAGTGGTATAAAGTTATAGGGCCATGATATCTGGCCAGAAGGTACTGGGACAGAGTGGTATAAAGTTCTAGGGCCATGATATATGGCCAGTAGGTACCTGGGACAGAGTGCTATAAAGATCTAGGGCCATGATATCTGGCCAGTAGGTACCTGGGACAGAGGGGTATAAAGTTATAGGGCCATGATATCTGGCCAGTAGGTACTGGGACAGAGTGGTATAAAGTTCTAGGGCCATGATATCTGGTCAGTAAGTACCTGGGACAGAGTGCTATAAAGTTCTAAGGCCATGTTAACTGGCCAGAAGGTACAGGGACAGAGTGTTATAAAAGTTCTAGAGCCATGATATCTAGCCAGAAGGTACTGGGACAGAGTGGTATAAAGTTATAGGGCCATGATATCTGGCCAGTAGGTACTGGGACAGAGTGGTATAAAGATCTAGGGCCATGATATCTGGCCAGTAGGTACCTGGGACAGAGGGGTATAAAGTTATAGGGCCATGATATCTGGCCAGAAGGTACTGGGACAGAGTGGTATAAAGTTATAGGGCCATGATATCTGGCCAGAAGGTACTGGGACAGAGTGGTATAAAGTTCTAGGGCCATGATATATGGCCATGAGGTACCTGGGACAGAGTGGTATAAAGTTCTAGGGCCATGATTTCTGGCCTGTAGGTACAGGGACAGAGTGCTAAAAAGTTCTAGGGCCATGATATCTGGCCAGAAGGTACAGGGACGGAGTGGTATAAAGTTTTAGGGCCATGATATCTGGCCAGTAGGTACTGGCACAGAGTGCTATAAAGTTCTAGGGCCATGATATCTGGTCAGTAAGTACCTGGGACAGAGTGCTATAAAGTTCTAAGGACATGTTAACTGGCCAGAAGGTACAGGGACAGAGTGTTATAAAAGTTCTAGAGCCATGATATCTAGCCAGAAGGTACTGGGACAGAGTGGTATAAAGTTCTAGGGCCATGATATATGGCCATGAGGTACCTGGGACAGAGTGGTATAAAGTTCTAGGGCCATGATTTCTGGCCTGTAGGTACAGGGACAGAGTGCTAAAAAGTTCTAGGGCCATGATATCTGGCCAGAAGGTACTGGGACAGAGTGGTATAAAGTTCTAGGGCCATGATATATTGCCACTAGGGACCTGGGACAGAGTGGTATAAAGTTCTAGGGCCATGATTTCTGGCCTGTAGGTACAGGGACAGAGTGCTAAAAAGTTCTAGGGTCATGATATCTGGCCAGTAGGTACAGGGACAGAGTGGTATAAAGTGCTAGGGCCATGATATATGGCCAGTAGGTGCCTGGGACAGAGTGGTATAAAGTTCTAGGGCCATGATTTCTGGCCTGTAGGTACAGGGACAGAGTGCTAAAAAGTTCTAGGGCCATGATATCTGGCCAGAAGGTACAGGGACAGAGTGGTATAAAGTTCTAGGGCCATGATTTCTGGCCTGTAGGTACAGGGACAGAGTGCTAAAAAGTTCTAGGGTCATGATATCTGGCCAGTAGGTACAGGGACAGAGTGGTATAAAGTTCTAGGGCCATGATTTCTGGCCTGTAGGTACAGGGACAGAGTGCTAAAAAGTTCTAGGGCCATGATATCTGGCCAGTAGGTACAGGGACAGAGTGGTATAAAGTTCTAGGGCCATGATATCTGGTCAGTAGGTACCTGGGACAGAGTGCTATAAAGTTCTAAGGCCATGTTAACTGGCCAGAAGGTACAGGGACAGAGTGTTATAAAAGTTCTAGGGCCATGATATCTAGCCAGAAGGTACTGGGACAGAGGGGTATAAAGTTCTAGGGCCATGATATCTGGCCAGTAGGTACCTGGGACAGAGTGGTATAAAGTTCTAGGGCCATGATATCTGGCCAGTAGGTACTGGGACAGAGTGGTATAAAGTTCTAGGGCCATGATATCTGGCCAGTAGGTACTGGGACAGAGTGGTATAAAGTTCTAGGGCCATGATATCTGGCCAGTAGGTACTGGGACAGAGTGGTATAAAGTTCTAGGGCCATGATATCTGGCCAGTAGGTACTGGGACAGAGTGGTATAAAGTTCTAGGGCCATGATATCTGGCCAGTAGGTACTGGGACAGAGTGGTATAAAGTTCTAGGGCCATGATATCTGGCCAGTAGGTACTGGGACAGAGTGGTATAAAGTTCTAGGGCCATGATATCTGGCCAGTAGGTACTGGGACAGAGTGGTATAAAGTTCTAGGGCCATGATATCTGGCCAGTAGGTACTGGGACAGAGTGGTATAAAGTTCTAGGGCCATGATATCTGGCCAGTAGGTACTGGGACAGAGTGGTATAAAGTTCTAGGGCCATGATATCTGGCCAGTAGGTACCTGGGACAGAGTGGTATAAAGTTCTAGGGCCATGATATCTGGCCAGAAGGTACTGGGACAGAGTGGTATAAAGTTCTAGGGCCATGATATCTGGCCAGTAGTTACCTGGGACAGAGTGGTATAAAGTTATAGGGCCATGATATCTGGCCAGTAGGTACTGGGACAGAGTGGTATAAAGTTCTAGGGCCATGATATCTGGCCAGTAGGTACTGGGACAGAGTGGTATAAAGTTCTAGGGCCATGATATCTGGCCAGAAGGTACAGGGACAGAGTGGTATAAAGTTCTAGGGCCATGATATCTGGCCAGAAGGTACAGGGACAGAGTGGTATAAAGTGCTTAGGCCGTGATATCTGGCCAGAAGGTACAGGGACAGAGTGGTATAAAGTTCTAAGGCCATGATATACGGCCTGTAGGTACTGGGACAGAGTGGTATAAAGTTCTAGGGCCATGATATCTGGCCAGTAGGTACCTGGGACAGAGTGCTATAAAGTTCTAGGGCCATGATATCTGGCCAGTAGGTACAGGGACAAAGTGCTATAAAGTTCTAGGGTCATGATATCTGGCCAGTAGGTACTGGGACAGAGTGGTATAAAGTTCTAGGGCCATGATTTCTGGCCTGTAGGTACAGGGACAGAGTGCTAAAAAGTTCTAGGGCCATGATATCTGGCCAGTAGGTACAGGGACAGAGTGGTATAAAGTTCTAGGGCCATGATATCTGGCCAGAAGGTACAGGGACAGAGTGGTATAAAGTGCTAAGGCCGTGATATCTGGCCAGAAGGTACCTGGGACAGAGTGGTATAAAGTTCTAAGGCCATGATATCTGGCCTGTAGGTACAGGGTCAGAGTGCTAAAAAGTTCTAGGGCCATGATATCTGGCCAGAAGGTACAGGGACAGAGTGGTATAAAGTTCTAGAGCCATGATATCTGGCCAGTAGGTACAGGGACAGAGTGGTATAAAGTTCTAGGGCCATGATATCTGGCCAGTAGGTACTGGTACAGAGTGGTATAAAGTTCTAGGGCCATGATATCTGGCCTGTAGGTACATGGACAGAGTGGTTTAAAGTTCTAGGGCCATGATATCTGGCCTGTAGGTACAGGGACAGAGTGCTAAAAAGTTCTAGGGTCATGATATCTGGCCAGTAGGTACAGGGACAGAGTGGTTTAAAGTTCTAGGGCCATGATATCTGGCCAGTAGGTACTGGGACAGGATGCTATAAAGTTCTAGGGCCATGATATTTGGCCAGTAGGTACCTAGGACAAAGTGCTATAAAGTTCTAGGGCCATGATATTTGGCCAGTAGGTACCTGGGACAGAGTGCTATAAAGTTCTAGGGCCATGATATTTGGCCAGTAGGTACCTGGGACAGAGTGCTATAAAGTTCTAGGGCCATGATATTTGGCCAGTAGGTACCTGGGACAGAGTGCTATAAAGTTCTAGGGCCATGATATTTGGCCAGTAGGTACCTGGGACAGAGTGCTATAAAGTTCTAGGGCCATGATATTTGGCCAGTAGGTACCTGGGACAGAGTGCTATAAAGTTCTAGGGCCATGATATTTGGCCAGTAGGTACCTGGGACAGAGTGCTATAAAGTTCTAGGGCCATGATATTTGGATAGTAGGTACCTGGACAGAGTGCTGTGAAGTTTCTTCAAATAAATGACCTTGACCTACTTTAAAGATTGAATGGGGTCAAATATGTAAAAACCTTTAAACAACTTCTGCCTTACCAGGAGTCCCTTGGTGATGGTATTTGACCAGTAGCATGCTGGAATAGAGTAGTATAAAGTTTCATTTAGTCTGGAACATTCCTAAGCCAAAGAGACTGAATGTATGGAAATATTTTCAAAACTGTTTTAATTGACAATATTTTCACTCGATGAAAAAGCTTCTTTTTTTTTTTTACCATAATGATGATATATTGAAAGTGCAGCTTGATAAACCAATATTTAGCACTTTAACTCGACCCCCTACATTTTTAAAATGGACTTGCCCAGTGTTTGAATTGATAAGGGTCGGATGTGACTTGGGTTAACTAAAAAAAGTATCCTAGTCATGCTTGCTGAAATTTTCATATATCTTCCCCGTGATCTTTAGTTTTGAAAACTTTGAAGAACTTAATAGAAGCGTTATCCTCAAAATCCATGGTATGCTCTTATTCACACACATCTTCTCTGCAACCTTGGATTTTCTCATGACAGATTCAAAGGTTTGGAGTTAGATGTTCGATGGTTTTCATCTGAATGGCTGTGTTGGCTGAAAGACCATAAAAATATTTATGTAGAATATACATCTTTTGAAATTATATCAAAAACATGTTGGCAAATTGTTTAAACATCCCTTTCATCAACTTGATAGAAAGGGAGGGGAGTGGGGTGGTGAAATATTCCTGGAAACATTTGGGGTATAAATTCAAATTATTACAGTGGTTTTTTTCCCTTTTCAGGAAGAATTTGCCTCGATAATAAGAAGATCTGGATTCAAAATGGTGACTTACGAGAATTTGACTTTTGGTGTTGCAGCGATTCACTCTGGATTTAAACTCTGATGTTGGAGTTCTGTCAAACGGAACAATATTGACAACTCTAAAGAAACGTAACTGTGACTAATAGTTTTCTCACAGTGGACAGTCTATTGTGATAATTTCACTCAGGAGTTGTATAGCCCTATCCCCAAGACTTCTTAGTTGAAATAATTAAATATATTTATTATAAGTTTGAGATGTAAGAGCCAGTGTCGCTGTATGTACAGTGAACGGATCAGTGAGTCCGTAAACTTTCGGTCGACACACAGACAATACAAGGTGATCCGAGGGTTTGATACATCCTAATCATGTGTGTCAATCATCCATCCTCGATCGATATTGCAGGGGTTACAATCCTTACATAATCCGCGTCCTTGGAAAATGCTGTAACGAAATCAAAACCACTGTGGTGTATGCACCACCTCACAGATGATCTACTAGACCAGTTAGATCCTTTGATGCGCATTAAGGACTCACAAGGCAGCATAACAATAAAGTTGACTGGCTTTGAAGTCGGGTGTTGCTCCTCTGTAATCTTAAAAGGACAATTGTCAGCCTAGCAAGCAATTGGTCACTTTTAAGCTCACCTAACCAAAGGGCAAGTGAGCTATGCCATGGTGCGGCGTCCGTTGTCTTTCCGTCCGGCATCTGGCGTCCGTCTGTCCGGCATCAACGTTTTACTTTAAACAACTTCTTCTCAATAACCAAAAAGCCCAGGGTACTGATATAAGGCCTGAAGCATGTTGGGATGAAGGGCTACAAATTTTGTTAAAATAAATTACCTTGACCCACTTTCAAGGTCACAGGGGTCAAATATGTTAAAATTTTCAAACAACTTCTTCTCAATAACCGAAAGGCCCAGGGTACTGATATTAGGTCTGTAGCATGCTGGGATGAAGGGCTACCAAGTTTGTTCAAACGAATGACCTTGACCAACTTTCAAGGTAGCTAGGGTCAGATGTCTTAAAATCTTCAATCAACTTCTACTCAGTAACCAAAGGCCCAGGGTACTTATATTGGGTATGTAGCATGCTGGGATGAAGGGCTACCAAGTTGTTCAAATGAATGACCTTAACCCACTTTCATGGTCGCTGGGGTCAGATGACTTAAAATCTTAAAACAAGTTCTTCTCAATAACCAAAAGGCCCAGGGTACTGATATTGGCCCTGTAGCATGCTGGGATGAAGGACCACCAACTGTGTTCAAATGAATGACCTTGACCAACTTTCAAGGTCACTGGGGTCAGTTGTCTTAAAATCTTTCAAACAACTTCTTCTCAATAACCAAAAGGTCCAGGGTACTGATATTGAACCTGTAGCATGCTGGGATGAAGAGTTACGAAGTTTGTGAAAATGTATGACCTTGACCAACTTTCAAGGTCAAAGGTGTTGAATGTCTTAAAATCTTCAAACAACTTCCTCTCAATAACCAAAAGGCCCAGGGTACTGATATTGGACCTGTAGCATGCTGGGATGAAGGACCACCAACTGTGTTCAAATGAATGACCTTGACCAACTTTCAAGGTCAAAGGGGTCAAATGTCATAAAATCTTCAAACGACTTCTTCTCAATAACCAAATCGCCCAGGGTAATGATATTGGGCCTGTAGCATGCTGGGATGAAGAGTTACCAAGTTGTTAAAATGTATGACCTTGACTGACTTTCAAGGTAAAAGGGGTCAAATGTTTTAAAATCTTCAAACAACTTCTCAATAACCAAAAGGCACAGGGTACTGAAATTAGGCCTGTAGCATGCTGGGATGAAGGACTACCAAGTTTGTTCAAATGAATGACCTTGTTCCACTTTCAACCTGATGTCCTTTTTCGACATTCAAGGTCACAGGCGTCATATGTTTAAATCTTTCAATAGGTTCTAACGAATCAAACACTGATATTCTGCCTGTAGCTGTGTTTTAGTCCACTTTAAAGATTACAAGTGTGAGATTAATACCAGGTTAGCGATGCAGGCCCATTGGGCCTCTTGTTTATCTGAAGCCAATCAAATACCTTATCGCATGCTTTCGATTTTGTTCATTACTATTCAAGGGGATGCAAAGAATGTAAATTAGATTTTACTATTCTTCCATTGTATTTAATGAGAAAAATATTGCCTGGTATATCATTCTCTTAAAAATTAGAATTTTGAAAAATTGATTCTTCATTTTGATCAGAAATCTTTAAATAATGCAATTTCTGGTGACTCGACAATTTCTCAGAGAGCAAAGAAAAAGGGTGGAGAAGGGACAGGATCAAACGTGCTTCGATGTTATAATCCGACAATGGTGGGCAATTTCTTGTTAAAATTGGCATTGTCCAAAAATTCAAAATTACTGGAGGGTTTTTTCATGCATGTATTCTTGTGTACATTTCAGGGATGTCAACAATTGGTTGATCAAGTTCAAACAATCAAATCGTAATTATTATTGAAAAAAAACAGTATTACAGAATTTAATTGTTGAACTCTTTTATAAAAGAAATACATTGATATTACCAGGTAGCTTATGTCCCTAATACAAACTACTTCCTTTGTAAAAATGCATCATAAACAGGCAAAAATGTGTTTTCAAGGCAGTTTAACAGGAAACAGTGATGATTCAAGATTTTTCCAGTTTTCAATAAAATGTAAATGAAATTATTTCAGCTGATGTTTTCGGTAAATGTACTTTTATAGTCGACATTGTAGCTATATTTAATGCAAAAGCAATGTCAAAGCATAACTTTACCAAGCAAACATACATTCTTCGATCTTTCAATTTTCTTTGTATGGCAACCATCATCAGATGCTGAGCTGTTCATATTGATTTTTCATGCATGTTCAAGCGTCGTCTTTCAAAGAGTGAGTCAGTCTGTCTGTATATAATTATTGTTTCTGCTACCTCTCAGAAACAAATCTAGAGATATCATGCTGAAACCAGTTATGCAGGTTCTTGGTCAATTTTTTTGTGCAAGCTAAAATTTGAGATTGATCAATAAAGCAAAATGGCTATTCAATAGTATTCTAGGATATTTAGCTCACCTAGACATCAGGCCAAGTGAACTTGTGCCGTGATGTGGCATCCATTATCCAGTATCAACATTTAACTATAAATTACTTCTTCTGAATAACCAAGAAGCGTAGCCAAAAAAGACGGCTATCAAGTTTGTTCAGTTGAATGACCTTTACCTATGATCTTGCAAGTTTAGAGGTCAAATGAATTGAAATACAATAAGCAATTTCTTCTGAATAACCAAATATCCTAGGTTGATAATATTTTGCCAGTAGCCAAAAATGAAGGCTATCAAGTTTGTTCAGATGAATGACCTTAACCTATGTTCATGCAAGGTCAGAGGTCAAATGTTTTGAAATACATACAATAAGCAATTTCTTTTGAATATCCAGAAGGCTTAGGGCTAGTAGCATGATGTGATGAAGGTTATCAAGTTTGTTCAAATGAATGACCTTCATTCATATTCAAGGTCACTGGGGTCAAATGTGTTAAAAGATTTAAAAGCTTCTTCTAAATAACCAAAAGGCCTAGGATGATATTTGGCCGGCAGCATACTGGGATAAAAAATAACAGCTGCAAGTTAAGCATGCTGGGATGAAGGACAACCAAGTCTGTTAAAAAAAACGACCTCTTTTATTCATCCAGGTCTCATACAGGGAGTCATTATGTTAAAACCTGCAAGCATTCTATATCACCAAGAGATTAAGGATCGTGATATTCAGCCATTAGCTTACCGGTAATGTCTGAATGAGTGACTAAGACCCAACTTTGGAGCTTATATTATTAACTCATTCACCCCTGAAATTTCATAATGAACTATTCCAACCTTTGAATTGGGAGAGTTCAATTGTGTCTTCAGGGGTAAATGAGTTGAAATAAGAGACTTGCCAACCCTTACAATTTTATCGTAATCCATATGGATTTGGTCCCGTGATTACGACTTTACCATCACAAATGTTTTCTGTACGATTTTCAAAAAATCTGTATAATTCTGATTTATCACCCAATATTTATAGCTATTGAATGTTAAAAATCAAGAGATACAATAGGTTGTGAAAAGTTTTAAGAGTGAGTTGGTATTGATTAATTCCTGAAATATGTTGGTACAAGTGGTATTGTTGTTATAAAGGATGAATTATAAAACACATCCAGAGTTTATTACACCAATTAGAGACTCCGAGAGCTTACAATGAATTTCCATGCATATAAAAGTCTCCAGCGACCCCCCAGACCGCTGGCTAAATTTCTCACCTTTCTACTATTTCTTATTTTGATATGTTGGCAAGTCTGAAATAACGTAAAATCTTCCACAAAGGCCCTTAAACCTTTCACCACCGTAGACCATAATGGATGCATCCCCGTCAATGCATGGTAGAGTCTACTAAAGTAGCATAGGGGTGAAAGGGTTAAGGCGTTGAGTACTAGGTAATATATAGACACGTAAGGTACAGGGTATAATACTTTGCAAAATAATTGTTTTTCACAAAAATAGCATATTTCTCTCGAAATAAGCCAATATTCCTTCCCCTTCTCTTGCAAAAAAAAGTAAGGGCATGATGTTCAATGACTGTGTGTTTTCTTCGTATATAAAGGTTATTAAAGGAACTGACTACTAATAAATTTTAAAATACATAAATGAACAATACAATAAAAGATTTATGATGCTAAATGTCACATTTTCCTTACAGTTTGAAAGTTACAACTGAAATGTTTTTCTGTATTTTTAGGTGTTTTTTTATTCGGACAGAAACATGCATACACATTTTTACATAGTAATATAAATATACACAAACACACACACATATACCGGAGGCACAGTAGTCTAGTGGTAGAACGCCGGGCTCGTGACCGAAGGGTTTCGGGTTTCGAGCCACAGCACAGCACTGTGTTGTATCTGTTGCAGTCTACTCAGCTGTAAATGAGTACGTGGTTGGGCAGTGCTAGAATTGTTGAACCTAGCTGTTAGCACCGAAATGGCAGCTCCGGCTGTATGCTCCAGGGAGTTGAGAAAGATAATTTGGCTGGTTGCAAAGGCCCTATAACCATGGATAATAATTTGTGAGCTGCTTTGAGACGACCTATGAACTAGGTTGTGATAAAGCGGTATATAAGAACCTCAAATTGTTATTATTATTATATACATAGCACAATACGCAAAGAGTGTATCTATTGCAATACAGAAGGAACATATTGCGATACGTATCCCGATATATCGTCAAAGGAAAGATGTGCTCAATTTTAAGATAAGTTGTTATCAGAATGTTATCAAACTTAATCATATATAATATGGATCACATCGACTTTAAGATTTTTGTCAAACCAACCATCGATTACAAAATTTGAACTAATTCCGACCACTATTAAAAGCCTGCTTTATGCTTATTGGCATATCTGTTAGAATTTGTAGTAATTTGTAAAGTTAAAACACCAAGCAGAATACAATACATAAAAATCAGCTTTTTAAAAAAAAGATTGCGATACAGCAATATTTCATCCCTGTATTGTGGTACAATATAATATTCCTGTGTATTGCGATATACCTGTTTTCCAATATACTGTGACAGCCCTAACACACACATGTATACTGAACATATTTACAACTAAAAAGTTACCATTTATTTGACCTTTGACCTTGAGACATAAGGAGACATAAGCCAGGTGGCATTGAATTTTTAGTAAGAACCTGATAAGACAGCTCCTGAAAGTTCCTCAAAATTGTATTGATGAATGAACATGTGAATTGTATTGATTGTAAAAGTTGTTTAGTACTTTAGAGTGGCTTTATCTAGCTAGATTCAGCGCTATATCAAATGTTGTATATTGATTTATTAGGAATTTTTATTGATCATCTATGAGTGATACAGGAATGGTGTAAATTTCTTTATGATAGCTTAAAACAGTTGAAAAGTCATGGCCTGGAGAAGGTGATCCCGAAAAATATAAACATATGACATCTGACTTTGAGGTCAAGGGACCTATGACAGTACACTGCACGTTGTCTATAGGTAATGCAGCTGTACTCCAAGATTCATCAAGATATCTGTAACAATTTAAAAGTTACAGCCTGTACTAGATGTTACTGAAAAGCATGCATTTATTTGACCTCTGACCTAGAGATCAAGGTCACAGTGACCTACTGACCTAATTCACTGCAAATCTTGTGTTGGTGATACAGGTATACCGCAAGTTTCTTAAGGCCTGGGCAAAATGTCTTTTGAAAAAAATGCACTTATTTGACCTTTGACGTTGAGGTCAATGGGACGGTTTGAATTTTATGGTCCAGACAAGAAATCATTAGAATAACCAGACGAAGATTCACTACTAACACAATGTGACTTCCTTCATTCAAAGTGGACCCATCATAAATGTCATTTTGACAAAGAAAATTATCCATGCGGCCGAAAACTATACATCTTCAACGCAAATAAGTACATGAATTTTGAAATATGATGTGTTATCATTCTGAAAAATCTACTATGACCTAATGTTTTCGAAAAGTACAGAGGCTAGCTTCATTGCTTAGCATCCCTTGCCCTTTCAAGAGACACCAAGTAAAATACGAACAATTACTGGAAATTTAAAAAATATTCCACTCTTTGAATGATCGTATGAGGCGACTAATGTGTCCCCTCCTACATAATAGGGTGTTTCCGTACGTTTCCTGCTCAGGCGATAATGGAGAAACCAAACTTCCTCCTTTAAACACTTGGGACCTTGTGTTCTCACAACCACTCTCTGTTTTCCCCCATTGTCTCTTAGGGTCTCCTGGTTAGCCCTTAGTCACTATAACGTGACCAGTTTGTCTGTTTTGATATCGTGTCCAGGTTAGGACAATTCAGAGTGATGCCAATATCAAATGGCCCATGACCTTAGCTGTCATGAGGACGAAAATGCCTTTTGAGATGACCCATGACCTTAGCTGTCGTGAGGACGAAAATGCCTTTTGAGATGACCCATGACATAAGCTGTCGTGAGGACGAAAATGCCTTTTGAGATGACCCATGACCTAGCTGTCGTGAGGACGAAAATGCCTTTTGAGGTGACCCATGGCCTTTGCTGTCGTGAGGACGAAAATGCCTTATGAAATGACCCATAACCTTAGCCGTCGTGAGGACGAAAATGCCCTTTGAGATGACCCATGACCTTAGCTGTCGTGAGGACAAAAATGCCCCATGGCCTAAGCTGTCGTGAGAACGAAAAAACCTGAACAAACAACCAAACAGACTGGAAAGTATAAACATTAACTTTATTAACAACATATATAGCAGGCTTTATAGATTTGTTCCACACACAATATAGTGTACAAAATCTACATTTTTATATCATTATAAACTAACTTATAAAATGCGAGAACATTGGCAAGCTGAAACCTATCAACCATTTTGTAGCACCATGGCACCGTTGTCCCTTTCATCTTGGAATAGTTCATTGTTGTGTAGAGGAAGAACAGCAACATTGCTATAGACTCACAGAACGTATATCCTAAAGTTCTGCACCTTGCAGGAAGAATATGTTTAAAAGAGCAGATGTGATATATATTTTGTCGTTCAATTTTGTTGAGAGTTCCAGCAACCCTTCTTAAGATTGATAACTGTAGCTAAATGAACAGTCTATATCCTGCTACACTACGCAAGGACGAAGAGAAAGCCATCATCTTGATGACAAACATCTTTTGAGCTCAGCCAGATTTGAAGAGCAGAATAGCAACCTGTCCTAGATAGAAGTAGATGAAATGCTTGGTCTCGTGGGTGACGTAGCTTCCGAAGTTGCGTCCCACAATGCAATGCCATGTTGGGTTGTATTTTTTGTCGAACTCTTTCTTGATGTAGGCAGCGATGTCCTTCTCGATGTTGTACTTCTCCAGAGCCTGTGTTGCTATGTCTACGGAGTCCTGCTGCATGTCCTCAGCCATGTCGGCGTTCTTGATCACAGCTTTTCGGTCACCCATGATTCCTGAGGAACAGGGAGGAAATGCGACTTTTACGGTAATGACAATTGAATATTTAATTTCAAAATGTTTAATGATTTTTTTTCATACCCAATGTTGATTATGGAAGTGTAGGCCTTAATCGTTCGCGTGTTACTGAATGTACCGTCTAGGTTGTGGGAGTCCGTTCGCATGCTCAAGCATTTATTCTGTGCTCAAACCAGCTTACTTGTAATTGGCTTACATCATGTGAAACAAATATAGTTGTCTTTCCAAAATTCTTCCAAATCATTGACAAAAGAGAACTTTTTATTCTTTCATTATCAGAACAAGAAATTGGGATTGAGCACAGAATCTGAGTTAGGCCATGTGATTTATGAATAAGAGTCGTAAACAAAATTAATCCCCTTGGACCAGTAATATTTAAAATTCAAACTTAACTAAAATGACTTCAGCCATTTCACTACAGTTCGTCTAGTACAGTAAAATGATATAAGCTCACAGGTACTTCGTGTGAGGTAAGATCAAAATTTGAATAGCCAAATAATTGTCTAAAACTATCCTACACTAGTAAATAGTAAGCAGTTAATATTTACATACAGATTTTTAGAGTTCATTCTAGGTTATTTCTTTGGATTGGATATTCCAGAACAAAATTACAACGCCAATATCAAAACTATGCATTTGTTAAAAGGTAAACTAACCCATCAACGAGAGATTGGGGTAGGACTATTTTATGAGCCCCAAGTACTTGGAACCTGATAGAGGAATTATTTTAAATAAGTCCCAGTTTGAAAGCCAAATAAAATGCATTGAAAAGCTCTACTTGAGAAATCTCTGTATTACCTATACATTATATCGTATATGATATTGAAACATTCTGGACTTATCTTTAGTGACCGTTTGTGTATTGACATATCAGTATGATTAAAGCAGAGACATATAATACATGTCTATATGATGGATAATATAATGTATTATACGTCTCTGATTAAAGTTACAAGTGCCAAACACATGAGATGTGGTACTTGTACCGTTACACACATGTACTACTCAGCTCTAACGTCCTTATCGCAACAATTGAAATGACGCAACACATTTCATTGTAAAATTCCGTTTGGATATCCTGTTCGACTCATCATATTTTGCTGTTCAGGGATGATTATACTTGGCAAGTTCCCATCACTTAACACCGGGATATGACATGGGATGTAGATTGTTCAGTGCATTTATACAACGATATAAAGATATGTTAAAATGTAAAGTAATGAAAGCTATTGACGAGAGCCTGCGTTGTACAAATAAGTTACAGACATGCGATGCCGGCCTTTAATACATAATGATGGTGTGTGCACACTGACACATACTAATAGACTCAATCACATCACGTGCGTCTGAGCAATAGAGAGATACGTATAGCGTAAGGCGGAAACAACGCGGTTTTACTCTCAGCTTTATGTGTAGGGTTCTTGCAAGATTTTTTGATATACTTCGTGTCTGGGATGTATATATAGGTTAACATCAGTAACATTGAAGTTCTTCAAATGATAACATATTAGGCATTCTTTTAACATAACAAAGATAAAAGTATCAAATTAATTTAAATCGAGACAAAAATTACCTTGTTTCGATGATTTTCCACGATTCTGTACGATGAAAGGGCAGAAAGTGAGAGTAACATTAGCCACAAGCATCCATGGACGCTCTTTCGATTTCCCTCATTGGCTAAGCACAGCTCTCCCATTTGCTGAACGTAACGGGATCTTTCAGCGTCGTATATCAAACCACAATCCACCAAATGTTAGCAGACGATACAGAAATTGCGGGAAAGCCGTTCTTTCGACACATAGTCGTAGATATCACTTGGAATTATATACCACATGTTCTTTTTTGAAAACAGGATGTACGGTTGAAAAAAAATCGGAAGCAATGAAAAGTCTTATTTACTATGATAAGTCAATCTGTTGGCCTACTGATTTGTTTATGGCTGAGTGAGTGAGACCCCATCCATCTGTTCTTCGACTTCTAAGAGAAATCTTATCCTGAGTGATTTAAACTCAGCACGTATTTTAGAATTACCAGTTAGACGCGGACATGTACTCAAATTAGAAAACTTTGGAGCCGCACAAAGTGTTGAAATTTTATATACTAGTCATAACATATATCAAAGAAGCATACCAACACAGAAAACCAGTTATCGCTTATTTAATATGCTAATGTTATCGAATATCCATTCGGCCAGCAGTAGCTGAAGGCTAAATACAGTTAAGGAGCCATCATGAAAACGTGACTATAAGTTCATTAATAGAAAAAAACTGTAAATAAAAGTAATGTAATAATCTATAACTGTAGTTGAATGTTCTACGTGTAAGCAAGGAGTGGGGAAAAAACAGGTACAATTTCGTTTTATCACTAAATATACCGTGAGTATCGCTTAAGCATTTGTATATTGGCGTCTTGTTTAATACAGGTGTTTGCCATTGACGTATAAAAGAAATCGCCTTTTCAAATGTCAGATATGTTGTTTACAAATGACAATTGTGAACTTAGAAGTTCAGCTACCATTGTATCTAGGTGCGTTTTTTTATCGTAGATAACATTACTCTCTCAGAGAATTCGTGGTTGTACTACAAGTACCAATAGAGTTCTCAGATTCAAATCTTTGGCCGTTTGGCATTCGTCATACATAAACTGTAGAAATGTTAATGGTTCTACGTGATATCCATGATTCCAGTTCAACTGTCAAGTTAACACCTTTTATTTTGGTGTATTCATTTCCTGATTTTGTCTTTGTGTAACGAAACTGTGGTGTTTATTTATATTTTTGTTTTACTTCCCTTAAAGTTCCTTTGATAGTGTTCAAAGTTTGTTACCAAGATTCAGGCAAATATATCTATAGACAGACAATACAGATGACAAGTTAATTTTAAATCCTATTTCAATCCATATTTTTTCATCTGGCCAGATAAACACAAATGAAATGCACCTCAAGGATTAGATAGAAATTTATGGTGGGAACATTCGTATATATACATTTTCTTCCCAGCGAAAGGTTAGCGAGTGCACAATTCTAGCTCCTCGCATCATACTGTTACACTATCTGACCCAAGCAAAAAAGCCGGATATTTTAAGACTGCGAAATTCGTCTCAAGCTGTTTTTCACGATATCTTCCCGTCCAATGTTTTGTAAAAGTAACACACACACCCCGGAACACTGACTTCTATCTTATCGAACATTACATAGCTCTCTCTAGACTCTTTGCTAAATGTTCCTTACAGAAAGATATTCATGTTTTGTTCAAATCTATTAGTTCGTGGCGAAAATAATATCATCTGAGATATCGTGAAATCATCTAAGGTATCATGATATCATCCGAGGTATTGTGATATCATCTGAGGTATCGTGATATCATCCGAGGTATTGTGATATCATCTGAGGTATTGTGATATCATCCGAGGTATTGTGATATCATCCGAGGTATCATGATATCATCTAAAGTACCATGATATCATCCGAGGTATTGTGATATCATCCGAGGTATCATGATATCATCTAAAGTACCATGATATCATCCGAGGTATTGTGATATCATCCGAGGTATCATGATATCATCTAAAGTACCATGATATCATCCGAGGTATTGTGATATCATCCGAGGTATCATGATATCATCTAAAGTACCATGATATCATCCGAGGTATTGTGATATCATCCGAGGTATCATGATATCATCTAAAGTACCATGATATCATCCGAGGTATTGTGATATCATCCGAGGTATCATGATATCATCTAAAGTACCATGATATCATCCGAGGTATTGTGATATCATCCGAGGTATCATGATATCATCTAAAGTACCATGATATCATCCGAGGTATCGTGATATCATCCGAGGTATCATCTGAGGGATCGTGATATCATCCGAGGTATCGTGATATCATCTGAGATATCGTGATATCATCTGAGGTATCATGATATCATCTGATGTATCGTGATATCATCTAAGACATCATGATATCATCCGAGGTATCATGATATCATCTGAGGTATCGTGATATTATCCGAGGTATCATGATATAATCCAAACAATCGTACAAACGAAAAATAAACATCTGCAGTTACTTTACATTGTTAGACGTATCACTTTTAAAACTCTATAACTCTATATTCTTTATAACACAGAACGTTTGTCCCATATTTTTCGCTGTTCTCACTCATGGTTGTAGAGTGAGAAACACTAATATTACCTAAGAATATGGGAAGACCACAAGTGCAAATGTTCCGGTCCTCATCTCTGCGAAATTGGGAATCAGCGAGATAGGCGGTTAACATAATACAGCAAACAAAGGGAACACACGAAAATTTCTTATTAAACAGCTACTTAATTATCATCAACATCTTTGCATTTTTAATGAATTATTGACCACGCAAAACAATTAAAATCAAGAACGTTGTTTTGTCATTTGAAGTGTGTTAAACAAAGTAGAAACACACAGACATTCCCTAATTAGTGCTGTTTAATTATGTTTATCTTACTCGAGTTACTTAATCTTCAAATTATATTAAAAATTTGAAAACTAAATAATGCGAGTTAGATAATCATGAAAAACAATCATCCCAATTTTTGGAAGGAGGGTTATTATTTTTTGTTTTGGCGGTCGACTTTCTATTGGTGACGCTAAGTAGAAATGCGTTGTGACGTCATCTTCTATTGTGACGTCACGATTCATGGTGAGTGTAACCCACTAGTAGATAAACAAAACTGTTTACAAACTCAAATTTGGTTTATCGAACGAGTCGGGAGTTAAGAAACCTATTCGGGTTGTGGAACAAAAGAAAATTACAGAAAAATAATGACAAGAGATTGGTTTGTGTGTGATGTCGATGCGATTGATTTGTTTCTACAGAGACATCATCTCTATGTAGTTTCTTTCCAATATGTGAAAATAACAGCATACTGTAAAATAGGAAATTTTCGCGGTGTGGAAATATTTGTATTTGTCGCGTTGAGTAAATGAGTGCGAAAATATTATTAAGCAGATATTTATTTATAGATAGTACATAAGTAAAATATATATTAACTACATGTATTGCCAACACAAAAAGTTCCATAAAGACCTTAGGTTAAAAGTTTGCAACGCGAAATTTCTCACTTTTACACTTTTTTTGTATATTCCTCATCTCCTTGCATAGATATTGAAGGTCATGATTCTTTTATGCTGAAATGCCTCGAAGTTGCCATGTACTCAGGCATGTCATATATAAACAACAAAACAAAGAAAACAGAGTGTAAACAAATAGTATTAACAATTTAAATAAAGAAATCAACAATTTCTTGTAAAAATAAGTAACAAATTATTATCATAATATCCCATAATGCAACAGGATTTTAATGATTATGAAAGCGAAGATATGATTTTGACTGATTGTCTTGACTCCTCTGCCAAATAATTGTTCAATGCTGTTGAAATAAGGCTTACAAGTCATTAAATGATGCTGTTGAAGTAAGGTTCACAAGTCATTCAATAATGCTGTTCGTTTCTTCCCCTTTGATTGTCAACGCTGATGAAAGATTGGTAATTACCAACACGAATGCTTGTGTAATATCATAAATATCTAATTATGAAGTCTATCCTGATTTGAAGAGTAGGATGGCAACTTGTCCGAGATAGAAGTAGATGAAATGCTTGGTCTCGTGGGTGACGTAGCTCCCGAAGTTACGTCCCACAATGCAATGCCAGGTTGGGTTGTATTTTTTGTCGAACTCTTTCTTAATGTAGGCAGCGATGTCCTTCTCGATGTTGTACTTCTCCAGAGCCTGTGTGGCACAGTCTACGGAGTCCTGCTGCATGTCCTCAGCCATGTCGGCGTTCTTGATGACGGCCTTCCTGTCAGTCATGATTTCTGAAAATAACATAATACCATATTTAATTAATGATCGCGATCATTGTTAAAAACACCCGCACACAGACAAATATTGTATAAGAATCTCGTGCTCTACAAAGAAGTGTGGAATAAAATAGGGCAATAGGCAGCAAGCAGCAACACGTACGACACCAGAACAGAAATGTATATCAAATAACGAGCATTCAGAGAACAGCAAAGACTGTCAGTTTATAAATTGGTTATGTAATTTTGAATAGCCTGCAATTACGACAAATCGCCGTATAATAGGTTATTTAAATGGGCTTATTTTTTTGCGATCTAGACATGTAACAAAATCAAACTTTTCGCGGCGTCTTTGCAGAGACGGGACACTCGGCATATAAAGGGTCAAATAGTCAAATGAATATGGCTTTATTACAGTATTAATCAACAACAAATAAATTAATTTTGTTTAAAAAATCATAAATACTATTAGATGTGTGATATAACCTATTTTCAAACATCATAACTATTTATGTATTTGAGTCATCATGTGCACAACCGCATGCGAGCGATGTTGACATTACAGTTATGAACTTTATAATAGCTGCTTATTTTAACGCTTGTCATATCATTTTTTGCGTATGATATTTTCGCGATCACGTCATTGACCCGAAACATATCATCCCCGCGGAAATGCCATGCTATACGGTACGATAAGTTGTTCCTATTTGTTCCTGTTACCATGGGCAACATTACATTAATAGAATAATCACTAAAACTTGTACGCATTCCTTTATATTACTGTTTTGATTTTATATTGAACGTAAATTTCATTCTGGTAAATAAATATCAATATA